CTACATGGTCTCTCCAGCAGGACAACTGGAATTCTAACACAGTCGGTCAGGATGCTCAAGAGTGTAACACAGAAGCAGTTGGGACCACAACTGTCAGAGTGTCAATCCACCGTGTTGTTTCACTGGTTAGAGCAAGTCACAAACCCAACCTAGACTACGGGGCAAGGACTACACAAGAGTGTGAGTATCCTAAGGTCTGGTTCATGTAGAGCCACCAATGTAATAGTTACCATACTTGGTGATCTCATCCAAACTCCTTGTTGAATAATATCTATAACCCAGACAACTTCCAAATCTGTATCTTGGATCTCTCTGCTAAATTCCAGACTCGTGTTTCCACCCGCCTGTGACATCTCCATGTGCGTATGTAACAGGCATCTCAAACTTAGCGCATTAAAACTGAGTGGCATCATGCCCATGCCGCTCCTCCTGAGGTCTGCCCCACCTCTCCTCACAGCAGCTGCACGACTGTAGCGACTCAAGCCAAAACCCTGGGCATCACCCTTGACTCCACTTCATCTCTCAAATCCTGCGCCTAATGCTACCAGCTAAACCTTGAAAATATATCCAGAATCAACCACTTTTCATCACCTCCACTGCTGACCTCATCTCATGCTTAGGTATTAGCAGTAGCCACTTGACTGGTCTCGCTGTTTCAGAACTTGCCCACCTGCAGTCTAGTCTTAAGAAAGCAGCTGGAGAGATCCAATTAAAATATAAATCGGATCAGATCATTTCTCTGCCCAGCATCTTTGGTGGCTTTCCATGTCATTTTTGAGTTAAAGCAAAATTCATTAAAACACAACCTTATAAGGCCTAACATAATCCAGACCCCAGTGCGTTTTGGACTGTGTCTCACCCTTGGTGGCTCCATGCCAGCCCCAGGGGCCCTGCTGCTCCCCACACAACCCTGAATGGCAGCCTCTTGCCCAGAATATATGTCTTCCTCCTTCACCTCCTTCAGACTTTCACCTGAATACCTCTCACTTTTTCAGCGAGCCTTCCCTGATCACCCCCGCCTAAAGTTTGTATATGCATGGACATGTGCACACGTGCTTTTTTTTTCTCATAGAAAGGCAGAAAAAATGTTCAATTGCGCCAGGATAGATTAATCTGGAAACCAGAATGCTGAGGGAGAGCTACAGTTTTCCAGAACAGATGTGTCATAAAATCATGCAAATGAAAGCATTCTTCATAGATACAGAAATCAAGATGTATGAGGCTGAGAAGCCAAACAATTAGGTAGATTGTGTGACAGGGTGACAAGACAGAATAGAACGTTCGGGGGAGAGTTGCATATCCTAACATCTCACATACCTCAGAGCATCACATCAAACTATGCCGCTGGTTAACCCCAGTAGGCTGAGGCTGAGACGCAATGGCCAGTATTTTAAGGCACAGAAGACTTGGCCTAAAGTCTTCCCTTTACCCTTAACTTATCTGAGTGATTTTAGTAAATCTGTTCTGAATTCTCTCTGAGCATTATTTTTCCTCATCAATAACAAACTGGATAACAAATATCACATGCCTTCTATACTTCAAAGGACTAAAAAGGGAATCTAATGGAATAACATTTATGAGAAAGTGCTTTGTAGAATGTAAAACAATATAAAAATAAATTAGATGATTTTTGGTAATACATAAATCACTGTGATTTTTAGTGACAGTTTTGTTTCATGTGGAATACAGATTTTTGTTTGACATAATGTTGCACATAGTTTGGAACATTTTCATGAGTTTACAGCACAGTGGAAGAAATAAAATGATTGCCCCAATGAATATCATGATTAGCTATAAGTTTGCTTCTTTTCTTCTGATGCATAATTATTAAGTGTGTAATGAAAAGTGCTGCTACACATACTTTGCTCTCATTTAATTTAAAATAGAACAGAATAGCTATGCACTTCAGCTACCAGTAATATATACTTACATAGCCATGTTTACTATTAATATTCTTAATTCCACTTATGGAATCTGTTTTGAATTTTTCAGCATGGTGTTAAATAGGGTAAACGTGGCACTTATTTGTCTCTAGCAAAAAATAAAAACTAAAATGCTTAACTTTCTGTTTAAGTAGGGAAAACAGCTGTGTTAGCACTTTCGCTACTTTCTGTATTTCTTTTCCAGGTCTCAAACCTACGCAGAAAAAAGAAAGCTATAACAATATTTTAGACCATTATGAAACCAGATGCCTTTTGAAGCTCAATGAGCCACGCCCTGGATGATGGTGCTCCTTCGCACTGAACAACTGGAGGAAGGTAGTATCCAAACAGCACACATGACGGGGCCCTGTGTTGCAAGAGTGAGACATGAGCAGCCTGGGTAGCACATTCCCCAGAATGTTTCCAACCTTCAACTTGCAGGTCACTCTATCTACACACCTTGAAAACGGACAAGAACCTACAGTATATTTCAGATGTTGTAGGAGCTCTTCACAGTATTTAAGAAATATAAACAATGGCCTGTTATCCACTAAATCACCTTAGTAACGACCTCCAAAGTCATTTCCTCAAGTATTCCTTAACGTCACGAACTTTTCATCACTTATTTCATTATTCTGGCCCTCAGAAGGCTTTTATGTAACCTAATATGTCATTGGTAGGAATAATAGAAAGCAGCTAGGCAAAGAAAAAAAATCTATTATGCAATGTATAAACTATCATAACTAATAATCTTTCACTTTGTGGAACTCAACTTATATAGGTACCTCAAAAAACCCTTGAACACTTAATTCATTCTAATCCAAAGAAAAAAAATCCAATAATGTCTAATGAATCTTAAATTATTTTACTTTCCCTTCATATCTAGGATTTTAATGGGCATGATGTGTTGATTTTTTTTACACCGCTTAACTTACTCGTTCCCCTCCCTCATGAAAAGGTACTATGTATTAAACGAAACTACAAAATCAACATTTTTTTATAAGATTACTTTGATGTTAACAATTTTGAAATGTGGCAATATCATCATTAAGTTCAGGAAATTGTAGATTAAAATGTTTGATGCTGATTTTAGGGTTTGCTATATATGTAACAAGGTTCTTATTTCAGACATTCATTGAAACATGGTATTTAAAAATAAATAAAAACCAAACAAATAAACTTCAGTTGTAGCAGCAAAAAGTGCTTCACCAGAGAGAGCAAAAGGACAGATGAATAAAAATAGACAGACAAAGAAATGTGGAAAGGTGAAAGGCCTAGAAACAATGGGAAAGTGAGGAAATAGAGTGGAGAACTGAAGAGGCAGGGCAGGGCGATCATAAACCATGAATGACACAAGCTTGCCTCATCCTCTAAGAGAGAACAGGTTCATCTAGCTCTTCACTCCCACAGCGAGGTTAGGAATGAAAGGTTGCCCGTGGAGTACTGCACATGTGCACGCTACTGTGTGGTTGTTTTAAGAGGACCTGGAATGTAGCCACAAGAATCGGAACCATAGATAATTTCACTCACACCAAAAAGAATGATTGTTTAAAATCGGTCTTAATCGGTTAGCAAATATTGCAAGACAGTGAATTTCTTTGCTTTTATGTGACAACTTCCACAGAAAGTCAGAAAATTACATCGCATCTGTTACGTACATTTTTAGCTTCACAGATGTATTTCATTTTCCTTTATGATTTGGGAGACATATTTTCACGTTATTTTTGTTAGTTTCTTTATCACTGTTACTGATTTTAGGTGTCAAACTGCTTTTCTTCCTTTTAATTTAATTATCCAGTTTTGGGAAAGGGGGCAAGTATACCTTTGAGATATCTTTTCTACAAAACAATACATAAGTTAGTCATATACTAAGGAAAAAAATCTAGATTTAATTGAAATGTTGCAACTAGACATACTGGAAAATATGAAACAAAAATTCTACATTCCAGTTCTACATCAGCTGAATGTATTATTGATTCCAACATCATCGATTAAACAAAGGAAATTATACTTGCATTAATGTGTGAATCTCTATCCATTTTTGGTAGCATGTAATATATTCAACTGCTCAGCTCTAGCTGTCCTTGTAGCCACATTACCATATTATTCACATGTATCTATCATTTATATGTAAATAGACAAGATAAATGGCTTCTTCATAAGACAATTTTCAAATGACAAATAGACACAGGCAGACATTAGCAAGATAAAAATGTTGCAAATATTCATTCTATTATATATCTTTAAGGAAAAATGAAAACTATTTCAATTTTTTTTTAAGTCGTATGGTAATTACAAGTCGGATCTTAATACATTCACAATACCAACAGCTATTCTTCTCAATAAAAGCCTCCACCAATGTCATTTGTATCTTATAAATTACATGTTCTCAGATCCATCTGTGAAAATTGAGATGCTAATTATCATGGTTACATTTCATGATTCCACAGTTAAATGCTGAAGTGGAGCTACACAAATACCATATGTTTTTCTAAGAGAAATGGAGAAAGATTAATTATGAGTTCAAGTCCAAGTCTTCTAGCAGTTATACTCTCAACACAATAAGATCATTACATTGTATTATGCAAATGGGAAGTTTTAATTAATAGCTGAAATACCAAGTGAGGGGAAAAACTATGAAGTCTAAATTGTAAGTATCAGGCTTTTCTCCACAATTTAAAAAAAAAACAAAACACCCTAATAAGGATGCTTTTGAAAAACCAAGTTAAAAATCCTGCCCTTCCTGCCAAATAAAAACTCCACATTTTTAATTGTCTGTGAACTTCCTTTGATGGAATGATCAGCATCATGCTGTTTAATCCTATTTAATAAACCTAAAAGTTACAGTGTATACTAGTAACAAGGGTTATAAATAGATAACATATATGATGAAAATTCAAATTAACATTTTTAAGGGTTTTTTAAAGCTATACATCATCCAAAATGATGCAAAGTTACAAGTCTTGTGTACTCAGATAAAATACTCATTTCAATACAGCAACCTAAACATAAAACTCTATGATAACACTATAAGATTTTTATTCATATCTATAAAATCTGAATTCTTATTTTACTCACCACATATTCAAACACAAGCGTCAGCGTCTCCTTGGTGTGGATGATGTCATGAAGCAACACTATGTTAGCATGCTTTAGTCCTTTCAACAGAGAGGCTGGAAAATAAAGTGGACAGAGAGACCATTGATCATGGGTTACAATCAACTGATATCTTTCATTATCATTTTGGGACATTGTCAGATGAAATGTACCTATTTTCCGATTTCCCAAGCCATTGACAATTCAGAATCAAGGGCAGAGAACCAGGTTTTTGTTTAGATGAAGCTCTCCCCTCTTTCCTCCCTCCTCCTCCTCCTCCCCAGTTATTCCACCTATTTGTTATTAATCTTCAGTTAGATTCCATTACAGTCAGAGAACATACTTGGTATGATTTCAATTCCCTTACATTTTATCAGCCAGATCTAGTTTAATTTGTTTGATATATGTGCCAAATGTATGCAATGGGGCAAGGGTAGGTTTACAGTTGTATGTGAAACACAGAGTTTGTGTTCATATTGTTATTTATTAATTATTGTTTCTTTCCATACAAATAACTGTACCTGCTTTTGCCCCATCCTGTACCTTTGGCTGATGTTGGGTGGAGAGTTCTATAAATGCCAACTAGATCCTGCTGGGTGACAGTTTCTATCAGTGACTAAGAGGAGCGTTAACATCCACAAGTGTCATTGGAAATTTCTCAATTTCTCATTTAAATTCTACCAGTTTTTGCTTTGTATAATTTGAAGCTCTGTTGTTCACTGTATATACATTTAGTATTGCTATGTTTTCTTTGTCAATTGGTCCCTTTATCAAAATACTAGAGGCCGAGTGCACGAATTCATGCACCTGGCCTGTGGGATTGGGCCAAAACCGGCTCTCCAACATCCCCCAAGGGGTCCCGGATTGCGAGAGGACGCTGGCCAGGCTGAGGGACCCCACCAGAACACGATCAGGGCCAGGAAGGAACACAGAAGGTTGGCCAGCTGGGGAGGGACCGCAGGAGGGCTCCAGAGCATGTCAGTCCCATCTCACTCAGTCCCTATCAGTCGGACCCCAGCAGCAAGCTAACCTACCAGAGTGTCTGCCCCCTGGTGGTCAGTGCACATTATAGCAACTGGTAGACCATTCAACTGTCTGCCCCCCGGTGGTCAATGCACATCATAGTGACTGGTTGATGGGTCGACTGCCCCCTGGTAGTCAGTGCACATCATAGCAAGTGGTTGAGTGGCCTTAGCATATCATTAGCATATTACACTTTGATTGGTTGAACAGACGTCTGGATCACCAGACACAACATATACAGCTTTTATTATATAGGATTAGCATGCATGAGATAATAATTTTTAAAATTACAATTAAATCACAGCATATGAACTCTGAAGAAACAACTACTATACAGACTTATGATACTTTAGCACTGTTAATTCCAATAATTTATAAACTTCCTTCTTTTACTTATTCAACTAGCCTATCAGCCTTAAACAATTAAAGCAGTGGTTCTCAACCTCTGGCCCTTTAAATACAGTTCCTCATGTTGTGACCCAATGATAAAATTATTTTTGTTGCTACTTCATAACTGTAATATTGCTACTGTTATGAATTGTAATGTAAATATCTGATATGCAGAATGGTCTTAGGCGACCTCTGTGAAAGGGTCATTCGAATGCCAAAGGGGTCGCGACCCACAGGTTGAGAACCGCTGAATTAAAGCTTTATTCAATAGCAAGATTTCAGATATTAATCTGAGGACCAGCTTTCACATTGCTCATTTTTAAAATGGACATGTGAAATGTTCACTGGCATTTACCAAGGACACTTGCCCCTGCACTAGTCTTTTGAGGCAGGCTCATCCTCAGAGAGTGCTACTTCAGACCACAATAGGGGATTTGAAAACGATGGACAGGTGCCCTACTTTACACCTAGTCTGTGCAGGCACGTAAATAGGTGAAATGAATTCAGGACCCATGAATCTCACGTTGTAAAAAAGAGCCTGGCTTTGTGAAGCAAGTTTTAGAAACGGATTATGTAATATCATTTGTAATCTTGTCCAATTTCATTCTTCAACTTCTCCCTCCACTTGTCAAATAAACTGATGATCTGCCCTTATCAGCAACAGCTCCAAAAAGGAACTGACGCTTATGCTTCATTGAGAATCCCATCCCCCAAGGATCCCTTTGCTTTGGATTATTAAAAATTTATTTCTATTGATTGATTGATTTACTCCCCCCACTTTCTTCTCTTACCACGTACACCTAAACTCTCATTTCTCAAAGGGATGTCTTCAGACTCATCGTTTCCCATTGTGTTTTTCCTACAGATTCAGCTCCTGCCATCATTCATTTTGGGGGAAAATATTTTCTCCTGACAGTGACTAATACAGAAAAAAAAATATGCCTTTTTTTATATGATAGTTTTTACCATTTCTATAAGACTCAAAGCCTCGACATTTAATTCAAATAAATTTCAATTATTACAGATTTTAGATTTCTAAATACATTTTACACACTTTTAAAACACACTATCAGTTATGTAAGTACCGATACCGGTACGTATTTGAAAGCAAGCCCTCTTTCTTTTGAGATTAACATAATCAATTCACATTTGGAAAAGAACAGAGCCACTCATTTCAAAGCTGGTGGCAGAAAAAATGGCACAGAAGGGCAGGAAACCGTCTGTGATATCCACCACCATCAGAGTGGGTGGCAGACCCGACTGACGTGGAGGCTGCCAATGCAGCAGCCACTGCCCCGTGAGGTGCCAGATACCATAATCCGTGCTGTCTCCGGGGCTTGCCAAGTCAGCCCAGTGATTAACACCTACAAGTCCTAGCACCACCAGTATGTCTCCCTGTTCAAGTCAAACACTGTCAAAATAATTTCCATGTAATCACAATAATTCCACAAATATACCACATGTTTTCTTACCATGTACATACAAAGCAAATCCTGGAACACTAGCTTTCATAATTTCAGCACGCCTGGCTTCCTCACAGATTTTGAGTAAACATATGGCAACATTTGAAATTCATTTCACCAGTGAGGGTTGAAAAGTTATAATTGCACATGACGCAAAAGACTTGCAATTAGGGTTGAGGGTAAAAATTCTAACAATAGGTTTGGGGTTGTGATGTCAAAAACGATACAAAAACAGAGAAAACAATGTTGCTCATAAAGATAACTGAGCCTCACCCTAACCAGTTTGGCTCAGTGGATAGAGCGTCAGCCTGCGGACTGAAAGGTCCCAGGTTCGATTCTGGTCAAGGGCATGTACCTTGGTTGTGGGCACATCCCCAGTGTGGGGTTTGCAAGAGGCAGCTGATGGATGTTTCTCTCTCATCGATGTTTCTACTCTCTCTTCTTTCCCCTCTGTAAAAAAAAATCAATAAAATATATATTTTTAAAAAAAGATAACTGAGCCTCTGAGAAAGTCCCAGGAGGATATAAGGGCACAGGGAGCCCTCCCTGCGTTTGGTAGCAAGATTCAGATATCCACCCACCAGCCATACTGACACCTTCACCTCCCACTCGGAGAATAAGCAACTCAAGTTTCCACTCTAATTCGGAAGGGATAAATTCCAGCTAACCTCCAATCTCATCCTGATCAAAATAAAATTTTAGATAATAGAAAAATTCACAGTATTTCATTTTGTCAGGTTCACACTGCAGTGGCTATTTTTTTCAAAGCAATGTTATTAAAGAAAAGACAAATATATTCTTTCTTTAATATTTCAGATAGTTTTCTTGGTCATTATTTGACATCATACTAGGAAAGGGAAGATCACACATAAACACAATCCATTCTTGCTCACTCTCCCTTTAGCCTGTGGAAAAAACAATGCATTCATATTTTCCTCTCATCTTTTTGATGTGTCCTTTTTCAGTGGGGTAGACCTGAGGGGCTGCTACCTGACGTCTCTAGAAGACAAAAATTAGTACCCAAGGAGCCAAACATGCCTCAAGCATGTTACAACCACAAGAAATATGGACTTTTTCTTCAAGCTCACAGCTACACAGCTCTGAGACCGTAAAATTCACTTTATACTAGAAATAATAAATATATATGCTGATCCCCTTTCCCTGCCCCCTGTGGGGCGGGGCTTAGTCTATTCCTTGAATGAGAAAAGGGGCTGCTGTCATCTGGCAGGTCTTCCTCCAGTTTGATCTATCTTCCTTTTACTAAGAGACCAGTACTAGCCCCAGATATCAGTCTGATGAGAGATGACACTCATTTTCAACACAACTCCCTTTGATATCAGTGCCTCCAAAAACCGAGAGAAGACCAGCTAACAATATTGGCAGGGAGCAGCTGGTTCTGCCTCTTAAATCCCATTCCTTCCCCATATAAGCTTTCTTTCCTGTGATGAAAAACATAAATGAACCCTAGCCAGTGTGGCTCAGTGGCCTGCACACCAAAAGGTCTCAAGTTCCATTCTCAGTCAAGGGCACATACCTGGGGCAACTGGTCTGTTTGTGTGACTCACACATCAATGTTCCTCTCTCTCTCTCTCCTCTGTCTCTCTTCCCCTCCCTCCCTTCTTTCCACTCTCTCTCTGAAAAGTAATGGAAAAAAAGATCCTTAGGTGAGGCTCAACAACAACAAAAACAGGAATGAGACAACTCCACCTCCATCCCCATAATCAAACTCATGTGACACTGCCCATCTAAAACCAAATGAGACTGAGATTTCAGTTTTTATAAATAATACCACAAAGGACATAATTGATCTTTGAAAAAATATTTTTTTGAATTATTTCCTTATAATGAATTATGAAAAGGAAATTGTAGGGTAAAAAGATATGGACATAGTTATAAGATTTGCTTATTAAATAAGTGTATGTAATCTTCTTTCTAATTCCTTAGAAGAATAAAAGAACCATGAAAGACAGGAAAATATGTAAAAATGAATGAAGAACTACTTGCTTTCAAGGACAACTTCTATCTAACTTACTTGCCAGTGAATTCTGAATATTGTCATAAGTAAAATATTCTAATAGGGAAAAGCTTAAGGACAAATCACAACAAAAAAGAATACACGCAGAGAAAAGACAAGTTTGCTGTTCAACTGTGTCTGTGATGAAAAGATGGTCTAGACCACGAGTTTGACATGCTTGGCTCCA